GAAGAAGATGCGGACGATCGAACCGTCCTTTGACGATCGTTTTTTGGTTGGATATTGACAAAAGAAGTGCCTTATTCGAAAGATTGACGAAAGGCATCAGGACAAGCTTCTGCAGGGCAATAAGCAACCTTCGAAACAATCGACAGGAATCACTCTTTTGTACTTGACGATTAATAACTCTCATCGATTAAATTAGTCCATAATTCTATTATATGTGAATAACTCTGTAATTATCAAATTGTCGCCTAAAAAGTTAATGATGATGTAAGTAATATGTACATTTATAATATTCAGACATATGTCTATAAATAGGAGTTCATGTCATAAATAAATGACACTCTTCTTACTGTTTTATGATGTGCTCTCTCTCTCTCCCTAATCACTTCCTAGCAGAACGTTCTACTCCTTGGATACGTTTTCCGGACACTTTTAGATTCAACATCCTTTAAGTTTCAGTGAGCGTGAAAATATTTCGTCAGCAAGATTAGGAGCTCAGCAATGACAATAGGGAGAGTCCGATCAGAGGAACATAGGAGGAGCAACATTCTCCTGAGAGTTTATGCAAAAATTCTCGTTCAACAATGCCTGCAAGATTTGAGAACTCAGATCACCAACCAGATGTTATAACAGTCGTAGAATTACTTAGGGCGTTCGCTGCCCTAGAAGCAGCCCCAGTTCCAGGAGAAGAGCCAGCACAACAGGGATCACTCAACCTCCCTTACAGGGAACCACCAACCAAAAATGGAAGGAGGGTGATCTACGTGTAGGAAAAAGCTTGACGACGGTCTATACCAGGACATCGCCAGATCCTTCCCCTTGAAGGAGAAAAACTGACAAGTGTAGATCGAGGTACAAAGGCAGTCAGAAAACGCCTCCGACCTACAGGTCTCCTGAGTTGAGCCTCTCGAGAAGTTCAAGATCTCGTTCTTAGAGCCGTATAAAAGACAGTCAAATCTTAACAACCACCCCGCACAGTTTGAATCTTTCATATGCCAGTTGAAAATTTATGATTTCCTTAAGTGTAAGTTGTTCTTCACAACGCTAAGATCATCGCATTAAGGTGGTTCGACGGATTGCCCGTGGGAGTAATCACCTGCTTTGTCGAGTTCATAAGACTCTTCCTATTGTAGCTTGTCAATGCCCTGAAACCTAAGAAAAGCTCTTGCTCTTTGTGGTAATTGAACCAGGGAATCAATGAGAGCTTGTGGTGTTTATCACATGCTTTAGAGCAAAGCACTGGAATTAAGGACTTGAAGCCTGACATGGCCCAAGGCGCGCTGACACAAGGAGTTAGGTCGGAGAGGTTTCGTTTTGACCTCAAACTCGCAGAGCCACAAAGCTTGGTCGAGTTGTTGGAAATGGCCAACAAATATATCGTCGCTTATGAGAATGTCTCTAAGCCTGCTGAATAGAGACACCAGAAGAGACCGTCACAAGAAATCAAAGGACAACCCATACAAAGTGCATAATAATCCAACCAATCCTGCTATGAGGGTCACCTTGACAATCACTCCACCCGGCGTCATGAGGATCAGAGATAGCAAACCAAGGCCCAGAATCATCAATCGTCCCACCATCTTGAACACCCTTACTATAATTCTAGGGTCCTTAGTAAAACCTCACTTAGAGTGTCCATGGCAGAAATGGTGGACGTCATCTAGGACAAGGAGTTCTTCAGGAAAGCAACGCCAATGAGAGTCAAGGCTTTACTTTGAAATAGTAGAAGGTATTCTAAGTATCACAGAGATCATGAACACAATAAGGAAGAATGCAAATATCTGCGAAGCATGATCAAGGAGCTGATAAAGTAGGGAAGTTGAAAGAAATTGTCACCCCTAGAGTCATGACTCAAAAGTAGGGAGAAACTCCTACTGGAGGAACGATCAACAGAACCATCTTCACAAAAGTCATTCATTGCTTAGAATATAAAGTAGGGTAATTTTTGCTCAGAAACCCAGTGGCCAACCACCATTTTATTTTATCGACGAGGTTCTTCCACCAAAGGGAAATCCATATAATGATGTCATTGTAATAACAGCTATAATCAACAATTACCATGTATGAAGCATTCTCATTAATACAATGAGTTTTGTGAAATATATTATTCAAGTAGGTATTTGACAAACCGAGCCTCAATGCCGGTCGGATGACCACGTCGATCGGTCTCCTATATGGATTCTCGAGCGAAATGAAGGAAGTGTTGGGAGTGGTCGGGTTCCCTTTAAGTTGGGGAGAAAACGAGAAACAATTTATGGTCACAAAAGATTTCCTTGTGGTGGATTCACCCTCAACGTATAACGCTATATTCAGCTGACCACTGTTGAACAACTTCAGAGCGGTGGTCTCTATTTACCATGTTGCTATCAAGTTTCTTAGAGATAAAGAAATTACCATTGTCAGGGGTGATCTAGAGCAGTCTCGGGTTTGTGAATTGCTATCCATAAACAACGTAGAGCAAGATCTTCTAGACATCCAAAAAGTAAGAGAAGGCAGCTTTGAGACCACCTAAGTGATATAAGGCCTAAAAATAGATGGATTTCTTAGCAACTTGAAGTTTTACATTCATTGGATGAATTTATTCCAGTACAAGTCACTTAAAAATAAATAAGAGCATGAGGTTTATATTGGTTCCTAAGTCATATAAGGCCTTCCCAAAATACTTCTCCCTTATGACACATGACATAATAAAACTACCAGGGTCCTTAAGTTTTTTTTCGGAGCTTCTTCTGAATAATGACACCACCCTCTTCACTTAAAGGTACGGTTTCAAAGTCACCTAGCTTCCTTTTCCTATTAAGAATATCTTTCATGAAAATTACGTAACTAGGCATTTGCTATAAGACCTCAATAAAAGGAATGTTGATGGTAACAAACATTTCTAAAAATCTTGAGAATTGTTGATCCAACTTATGTTCAAAGAGTAAGTTTTTCACCAAGTCTTTCGGGCTCAAGACTGGCTTCATCTTTTATTTGCTCTCTTCTATTCAATTCCTCCAATTCTTTCCCACTTTTTAATTTAAGAGCCATAACATGTTCATTCCATTTATCATTGGGCCTCACTTTAGTATTGCTTGGCAAAGTTCCCTTAGGTCTATTACTTAACGAGTTCGCTGCCTAGCCTGACTAGTATTCATTGTCCTCAATTTTTGCAGCTTGATTCTGCAGTTGATTCCACATACGCATCAAAATTTATTCCAAAGATAATTTCTTCTCTTTAAATTGTGGGTGGGTATGTTTACTTAGGGTTGTCATTACCCTGATTATTCTAATTGCCTACTGGATTAGATTGGTTATTTCCTTACAGCTGGGTTCTTACACATTGGTTATTATTGTTCTAGTAAAATTATGGTGATTCTTCCAGCCTGAGTTGTAGGTATTGGAGTATGGGTTATTGAACCTACTGTTTATGGCATTCATAGATTCTATAGACGATGCACTTGGATTAACTAGTTGTCCATAAACATTCTCTTTTATAAATGATGATCATGGTAATGAATTCAATCTTAGGTGATTTAACTTTCTAGAGATAGAAACTACTTGAAATATAAAAATGGATAATACATTTGTATCATGTACACTGACTATCTTTCTAGGTTTAACTTTATTTCATGGCTAATGAATATTATTTGTTGTCATCTCCTCAATCAGTGTATATGCCTCATCGTATGACTTTAACATGAAAGATCCTCCTGCTGTTGCATCTATGTTGGACTTAAGAGATCCTACCAACCTATTATAGTAGGTTTGAATTATTAACTTGTTTGATAAGACATGGTAGGGAAATTTTCAAAGAAGTTCCTTAAACCTTTCCCGGGCTTCATAAATTGATTCCTCATCAAGTTGACAACACGAAGCGATGTTATTACTAAATTTTGCCATTTTGGATGGTGAAAAGTATTTTGCTAAAAATCTCTAAGAAAATTCGATCAATGTGGCGATATGCCCTAGAGCTAGAAATTTAGTCACATTTTAGCTTTATCCTTCAGTGAGAAAGGAAAATTCTATGCCTAACAACATCGTTGGAGACACCATTATAGCAAAATGTGACACATAATTCAAGGAAGCTCGCTAAATGAAAGTTAGGATCTTCTGTGGATATCCCCTCAAAATGATTATTTTGTATAATCTAAATGATAACAAATTCAAATTTGAAAATTTTGATTTCAAGGTCAGAGTGCTGATACTTAAGTGAATTTCATCTACCGTTAGGTTGTCAAATTCCTTAAGCAATCTAGGCATGTCATGGGGTTTGGGTGTATTGTGTTGTTCTTCGGATAAGTTTTTCAACTATTCTAATCTATTTTTAAGTTTTTCTAATTTTCAAAATTTTTACCCTTTTTTCTACTTTAGTTCTTTGCTATGTAAATCCTTTTAAGAAAAAATAAAAGACCTAACACCTAAATTTCAACTTTTGCTTATATGCCATCTCATTTGTACATGAAAATTTGTATTTCTTTTCTTATAAATATGTTTAAATAGTAATATTTTTTATGTGATATAAAAAATTTTGATGGTATAAATGTAAAACACGAGGTTTAAATGTTAGATATTTGCAAGTACTCATGAATTGGGTGGTATATGTAAATTCCCTTAAAAATTGTTATTATAAAAATTTTTTTAATATATATTTTTTTAAATAGCTATTAATTGAGTAATTTCTAATGTTTGTGATGAAGTAGTTAATTAATAAATTTAGTAATGACTCTTTTCAATTGATTGAATAGAAATTATTATTTAATTAATTTACTAAACTACTAATTAATTATTAGTTATTTATTACAATTATAAATAAGTTGTAGTTAGCTTAGTAAATGAGTAATTAATGATTTGTATAATTAAAATTAATTATAAAATAAATTAAATTTGGTAATTAAATCATCAACGATTAACATTAAAAAATTATTATAATAAATATACTTTTTGCAACACTGCACAACACGTGTCATACTTTCAACCTTTCGTCGCCACGTAACCCACCTCACCCGCCACGTGTTCTTGGCCACCCATTCATTCCTCTCTCTTCTTCTCTTCTTCGTCCTCTTCCATCTCAAGAAAGCTCAACAAACCCTAATTTGAAATACACAAACCCTAATTGAAAACCAAATCAATGTCTGGCGGAATTGGGCCGACTACCAAAGACATCGCCGTCCCTTCCGAGGGCAGCGGCGGCGACACAATCGCTATCCCGGAACACCACCCGCACCATCGCTTCCTCTCTTTACGGCAGCTCAACACCCTCGCAGTCTCCATAGTCCTGGCCGCCTCCGGCATGGTCGCAGCCGGTGACATCATCATTGTATTTTCATCCTTGCCCTACATCATCTTCCTCTCACGCTATGCCTTCCCCCCTCTCCACCCCTCTCAATCCGTCGAACCCCCTATATTCGGAGCAGGCAACCGTCTTATAGCCGTTTATGTCGCCATTGGAGCTCTCCTCGGTCTTCTCCTTCCGATCGCCTACATCTTTGAGGGCATAATGGAGGGAGACAAGGAGGGAATCAAGGCCGCTGTGCCGCACGTGTTTCTGCTTGCGAGCCAGGTATTCATGGAAGGTGTGACGTTCTCGCATCATTTCTCGCTGCCGATCAGGGCTTTTGTGCCGATTTCCTTCAACGCGTTGAGGATGTTTACGCTCATCGATTGGGTGATGGTTGAGTTGAACAAGGAAGCGATTGCCGGCGGTGAACAGTGGTCGGCGCTGAGGTTGTTGGTCGGTAAAGGATTGGCGGTGGCTAATTTTGTATTCTGGGCTTTTAATCTCTTTGGATTTCTTCTGCCGGTGTACTTGCCGAGGGCACTTAAAAGACACTACGGCGACAAGGAGAAATGAGGTGTAAGTTCTGTTTTTTTTTCTTTTTCTTTTTTGATGAGGGTTATGATTGAGGGAGAGAATTTGATTCTCTTGTCGTTTCTTGTTTTCTTCATGAATTTTCCTGCTTTTCGTATGTAATAATTTAGAACTTGAGTTGTTTTGAACAAGTAATTGTATTGTTTTGAATTAGAGGGAAGGGAAGTCGGGATGGAAAAATTCCTGCTTGATAAATGCAGAAATCATGCCTCTTCAATGTTTACATTTGGATGTTATGGTTAGCAGCTGAGATACTGTTTAACAATTGTAGGACAACTTTCCTGTTTTTCTTGTTCACTTGTATCAAGTAGAGGACAAATTATGCTCCTTTATTTGATTTTGGAACTTTTTTTCTGCTCATAAAAAATGTTTCAAGGAGAATTGCTCTCAAACATACCAAAAAATAGAAATTTTGTTTCTTTTCATATGTTCATTTTCCTCCCATTACATGCGTTTATAAACCGAACCCGATAAAAGTTTGGAAAAAATTACAAAAAAGCCCAAGGAAATAAACGACTTAATTGCAATTACTTAAAATAAAATGATAATGCCTGATTATTTAAAACAATCATTAAACCAACTAGGAGGTTTCTTGTTCCTACTTGGTCGAGTAGAACAGACATTATTTATTTTTGTATCAACTCCATCATAAAAAAAAGACCTTGTCCTCAAGGTTGAAGTAGCCAAAAATGAAAATTTGATCTCCATTAGATACAATAGAATGAGGAATACCGTGGAGTTTACAAATATTTATCATAAAAGAGTTGCCACTTTAAAAGCAGTGAAATGAAAGGGAAAAAATGAGTATATTTAGTAAGTCTCTCCACAATCACCGTTATAACAGTTTTAACACCGGAATTGGGCAACCCTGTGATAAAAACCATAGAAAGATCTTCCCAAACAACGGATGGAATATGAAGTGGTTGAGGTAATCCAGCCTGGTTACGATTTGATATTTTGTAAGTTGGCAAGTTGGACATGTTCTAACAAATTCTTGCACATCAGATTGTTTTGTAAGTAAAAAATTGTTTTTTGTATGAGGCGAAGTGTTTAATTTACCCCTCCATGGTCCCCAATTGTGCTAGAATGAAAAACATGCAATAAAGTAGTCAAGTTTTAGTGTTGGGGAACCATAATTTTGCCCTTAAAAAAATCATCTTTATAAGAACAATGGGGAAAGTGATCAATGTGCACAGTAATTTTATTGATTAGGGAAGATAGTGTTGAATCAGAGGCAATAGCTTGGTGAATATCAATGAGACAAGTACTGTGAATAGTATAAAAGTAACACAGAAGATGCATCATCATGCATATGTGAAAGCGCATCAACTTCTTCATTTGAGGTTCTGGGATTATGCTCAATAGAGTAATCAAAGCTAATTAATTTCATAAGGAAACATTGTTGCTGAAAAGTTTGAATAACTTGGTTCATCATTTCCCTAATGATTTTTTGATTTATTTTAATGGTAAACTTATTTCTTAAATGATATTGACGTCGTTTAACAATTGATTCAATAATCGCGAGTAAAACTAACATAAGCGGATGCCCGTTGCATAGGAGAATTGAGTTTTTCTCCTAATAAAAGTCAATATGTATCTTTTCCCAAGTCAAACTTGCTCCAATACGTGCTATAGATGCATCAGTTTCAATAATGAAAGGTTTGGAAATTTTGTAAGTTCTAGAACTCGCAGATTTGATGGAGAGCTATTTTTAAGGTATTAGAAGAAATGGTGACATAAATAGTCCAATGAAAGTTGTATTTTTGAAGCAGTAATGTAAGTAGGGAGGCAATAGTGGCAAAATTACAAACAAAACAACACTAGTAACCATCCAAGCCCAAAAATCCATGAAATTGTTTAATACATAGTAGGAATAGGCTAATTAATCATTGCATCTGTTATATAAATGTCAGGAGAAACACTGTTATTACTGTCAATATGTTCAAAATAATCAACAGAATGGAAACCAGAAGTACATTTAGATTTTCTTAAAAAGAATGAATTATATTTGAGAAGTTGAAGAATTATATCGAGTTGATGAAGGTGATCATCATGTGTTTACTGTTGATAACAATATCATCAAAGAAAATAATTATAAATTTACAAATGCATGATTTTAAAAATAATCATGATATTTTGAAATGTAGTTGGAGCAATTGATAAGCTAAATGGCATAGTAAGGAGTTCATAATGAACCTCAAGAGCACAAAATGCTGTCTTATAACAATCATATTTAGCCATTGAATTTTGATGATATCCTGAATGCAGATTAAGTTTTAAAAATAGAGACCCCATGTAGTTCATTGAGAAGCTCATCGACGGTCAGAATCAAAGATCTGTTTGAGATCATAATTTGATTTTGTGAACAATGTAGACACGGAAATGCCAACTACTATCTTTCTTTTTAACTAAAACACTGGAGATGAAAAAAAGACTAACCAGATGATTCTGGATGAATTGGGAATGGTATGTATATGATGATCGTCATCTCTGTAAGGAGGGAGCTTGGTGGTTATTTGAAATAAACAATAAAAAAGCTAGCAAATGTTGTAAAGATGGTGTAATAGAATCATATTTATATGAAGAAGAATTTGCATCCGGAATACAAAGAAAATTTAAAAACATGATGCAATACTATCGGTAGCCTGCAGTTTTTTTAACTGATGAATTTGAATACAATCGATGGAAAGTTGAAGGTGCCTTGCAATTGAATAGGTTGGCAAGTACATGTAAATTTCATAATGAGTCTTTTGTAATTAGTTAAAACATCAACTAAGTCTTCTAGCCACTAAATACCCAATACCAACGCCGCGCCACAAATAGGCAAGTAACCCAATGTGATGTACAGGTCGTTCTTGTATGAAACTATGTATAGAGCCACTGTCAACAAGAATTTGAATGTGAGTGTTAGGCAAGTGTTAGGTATCGCTCATATACCATAAATGAGACAGATGCTGGAGCGGAGCGGAGCCCACGAGTGGAGCGGAGAGGAAGGATCTGTCCAATCGGGGGAATTTCATTATGTGGGTTGGGGGTGCGAGGGTAACACTCAACGGTTTGGTTCAGGGGTAATTTAAGTAATTACATATTGTACTATAGCGTTATATATATGTCATGTTTGTAACCCTAGGCGAGCCTTTGAGACTTCGAGAGCTGAATTTTGTATTCTGTATTATTTTATGAATCTTGAAAAGGATGTCGTCGTTTTGCTCCCGAGGATGTAGGCATCTTTGCCGAACCTCATAAATCTCTGTGTGTTCTTCTGAATTTTGTCGATTATTATTTTTCTTCGCCCAAATTTCTCAACAAGTGGTATCAGAGAGAGGTTATAGAGCAAGGAAGAAAAATTTCGGCTGCGCAGGAAGTACGAAGAAAGATTCTCCGATTTGTGTTCGGCTAATGTATCAGAGAGAGGATTTACGACACTTCAGTTCGAGCAGTTCGAGCGGAGGATCGCGATACAATATTTCGCGTAGAGAAGGAGAAGTCGCGATCGGCGAGATAAATTCTTAGAGACCGACGACAAGACAGCAGTTTGGTGTGAAAGACGGAGGTGTTTGAGCGGCGGAGGAGCAGAATTGGAAGGGCGGACACGGGAAAAAAAATACATGCGGAAAAGGAAAGTCCACTGAGAAGGAAATTTAGTGCGTAGATATTCCGGAGATATTCCAGGACTCAGGAAAGACAAAGAAAGGGAATCTGCTGCACTTGGTATAAGAAAGTTTCTTTCTGGAAGAAAAGCAGAGGCAGAGCTTTTCTGGAAGGAAATCAGAAACAGAACTTTTCTGAGAAGGAAAGCGGAGGCAGAGCTTTTCTTGGAAGTTTAAGGAAAATGATTTATGGGAAACGTAATTAAGGGAAAGTCTTTTTTTTTGAAACGTAATTAAGGGAAAATTTTTTTTTTTGAAACTTAATTAAGGGAAAGTCTTTTTTTTTCTTGGAAACTTAATTAAGAGGCTTTTTTTTCTTGAAAACTTAATTAAGGGAACTTCTTTTTTCTTGAAAACTTAATTAAGGGAACTTCCTTTTTCTTAGAAACTTAATTAAGAAAAATTCCTTTTTCTTGGAAAATTAATTAAGGGAAAGTCATTTTTTCTTGGAAACTTAATTAAGAGAAACTTAATTAAAGAATCTTAATTAACAGATTATTTATAAGGCTCAACCCAGATTGGTGCATAAGAAACTCCATGATATATTTCTCCTAAGAGGTTGGATTTTCGCTAAGGTGGATATTTGTTGGGTATATGCATTTTCCCTAAAGGGGTTGAATATTCGCCAAGGTGGAGATTTGTTAGGTATGACTCATAATACCATAATTTGGAGTCTCTTGGAACAAAGAGATGTCTCTTGAAATTGAAGAGTTGTGTCTCTTAGAATTTAGTGGGTTGGGGGGATCAACGAAGGCGCAGTGGAAGCGTGGTGGCCCAACCCACATTGGTGCATAAGAAACTCTTTGATATATTTTTTCTAAGGGGTTAAATATTCGCCAATGTGGAGATTTGTTAGGTATATGAATTTCTCCTAAAGGGGCTGGATATCCGCCAAGGTGGAGATTTGTTAAGTATGACTCATATATCATAAATGGGACAGGTGTTGGAGCGGAGCGGAGCGGAGCCCACGAGCGGAGTGGAGCTGAAGGATCTGTCCAATCAAGGGAGTTTCATTATGTGGGTTGGGGGTGCGGGGGTAATACCTCGCGGTTTGGTTCAGGGGTAATTTAAGTAATTACATATTGTACTATAAGGTTATATATATGTCATGTTTTTAACCCTAGGCGAGTCTCTGAGACTCCGAGAGCTGAATTTTGTATTCTGTACTCTTTTCTGAATATTAAAAAGGAAGTCGCCGCTCTGCTTCCGAAGATGTAGACATTTTTTCCGAACCTCTTAAATCTCTGTGTTCTTCTGATTTTTTGTTAATTACTATTTTTCTCTGCCCAAATTTCTCAACAGCAAGAATCCCATAAGATGAATATTGGTTGCTGAGTGTTGTCCCACTAAAGCATTATAACTAATGGTAGTTTGTTCGTCTTTGTCAACTACATTAAGTTCAGAAATAGTAAAATAGAAAATTGTGAATCATTGCATAAAGAATCAGCTTCTTCGGTTATTATTAAAGTCAATATGCAAGGTTTACAAGCAGATAATGTTCATCACAACTATAGCGTATACGTTTATCTCTTTTCTCCTCCATTTTCACCATAGCTTGTCTTTCAACTGGTGA